ATGAAATGTCTTCCTACTTGCCAGCTTCTTTTTCTGTTGCCCCTTGAACAGGCACCGTTTTTTTACGGTGGAATAGATAATTCAAATAAGAAAATGCCGAATACGACTTAAGTGTGAAAATATTAGTATTACGGCACATTTGTACTTGTAGTTTGGTTCCTTTGGTCTGGACCAAAGCAAAATATGATATTGTTGCATTTTAGTTCTACAAGTAATGCGATTAATGTCCACTGAACTTTGTGAGTCATGCTGTCTTATCTAGACTCATTGTGTTGTTTTGTCTGTCTTGTGATGTTATAGCAATTATCCAAGAAACTCCCTGCGTTACTTTGGTTTTACATGGGTGAAATCCCTGTAATAGCTTCGATATATTATTTATTTGTGCGGTCAAACCAGAGTTCGGTCGGTTTCGCCTCAAAAATCAAACCTGCCAAGTCTCAACACAGCCTCAATCGCCAGGTGCAGTCAGCCTGCTTACTGCTCTGGGCTGTGAGCTAGCTCGCTCTTAACCGTATTTATTTCAGAGAATAAGTGACGGCAAACTGGCCATCCGGAGCAGAAAGAAATCTACTAAAACTGCACCAGGCAGTAAGACGAATGCAGCCGAGTTTAGGGCGTGTTTTTGGAGCTGCTTAAAAAACTTCGTATAGAATTTAAAATGTGGTCACCCACTCGCTTACTGACAAGATATGACCAACAAGCTGTTTTCAGTATAAAGACACTGTTTCCTCTGCTAATAACATGTTTTCAGTGTTTTTTTCATTATCTTGTAGTATAATGTTCATAAATGAATAATAATTATTGGATAATAATAGTAATACTAAATAACAATATTATTAAATCATTACATTAAAAAAACATGTTAGCTTTTCTTTTTTTGTGGAATACTTGAATATGAAAGAAAATATTAGTAAGAATGAAAATCTTCAGTAGTTCTAGGCCTAATCATTTGCAATCATATCTCATTTTTCACAAATTGTAGAGTAATATGAAGCATTCTAATGGGCCAGTGAAACTCTTCCAACATGTGCAGTTCCATCTGCTGCATGCTCTGTGTGGTTGACCATTTCACACTTATTTTAGTGAGCCTTAACTCTCGATCAGCGTGCCTTCGCCTGTTATTGTTGCCACGGGAACTGGGCAGGTGGGTGAGGGGCTCCAGAACACCTGGGGCCTAGAGGAGGAGGATGAGGAAGAGGAGTTGCAGGGTGGGACAGATGGAAAGAAGAAAAAGAAAGGTACTGTGTGTTTGTGTTTCTGGGTTTGTATGTCTGCTGTGCTGGCTTTACACATTAAACTATCATGCAACTAGTTGCATGTTGTGAGCTGCATGCAACAAAATTTCTGGGCAACCTGACAATCATGCGAAACAGTTCAAACAAAGTTGCACGCAACACAATTACTCCACAAGAGTATTTTTGATTCACTTTGAGGTTCTCACTTTGAAGTCATCCATGTGGTGTAATTTACATATTGACAGCATTTTCATCAATTCGGTGTCTCCCTTTTCAGCTGTCCAATAAACCATCTTCTGTTTTATTTTCTTTTCTATTTTGAATGTATGTCGTTCGACGTGATCATATGACGCACTGCTCACGTTTTTATTGGCTATTTCATGAAACTCTTCTTCACAAAGTTGCATTGGTTGCAGGGAGTTTAAAATGTGTTGGGGGAGGTTCTATGTCATAAAATTTGGTTTCATGCAGGTTTCAAGCAACTATCGTTGCATGAAACTTTCACTTTGAATTTTCTTTAGTTGCTTGAAGCTTACAGGAACTAAGTTTCAGAGTTTGAGTTGCACAATACAACTCCTTTGAAACTCAGCTGCAATATGTGCAGGAGTTTCATGAAGAAGCCAGTCAAAGCACTGATAACGTCACATGATCATGTTGAATAACACAGTTTCAAATGATTGATTTCACCAGTTCAATGGACAAAATAATAAAAAAGATCCTGTTTTTTGGGGCGGTTCAAAAGGAGATGCCCCTGATCCAATTTATGCAAGTTCGCATGGTAGTTTTTTTGCTTTGTCAGCTACCTGAGCCAAGACTACAAACTAGTTTTTGAAGGTCACATTTCTGTAAACAACTGCTTATGCCACTATTCATTCCACTTTGTTTTCTTGGTGTTATTGTGATCTACATAGCTAGATCATTCCTTTTCTCCTCTCTTGATGCCTCCTAGTTTTACACTGAGCACAGACTCTTTGGAACGACAAAATAATGAAAATTATTACAGAAGAGGAGATGGATTGGCAGTCCTCGATAGACTTGTAGTCCTCTAGAATAGGATATGTGAGGCATAAAGATGGCAATAACACTTAAAAAAAAAATTATACAAACATGATAAAAATATTGCAGTGTTAAATAACACCTTGCACATGACTGTTTAGCGATGCATCAAAAAACACAAGCTGTCAATTTAGCTAAATTGTGGAGTAACTGAATGTGTTTCATGCAACTTTAACTGCTTTGTGTAACAGTCAAGTTACTTGGAAATATGTTGAAAGCAGCTTACAACATGCATCTAGCTGCATGATAGTTTCACCGTGTAAAGCTGGCCCTACTCTTTCTTAGTTTCTTAGCGTATGTGTGGGTTTTCTTGTTTTGCAGAAGAAGTGATGGTAATCTCAGACAGTGAAGAGGAGGAAGTGGTGATTCTTAAGCCAGAAGCCCCGTATGTATACTCAATATGTTTGTTGCATTATTCATATCAGTAGGATTTCTTGGGAGATTACAAAGTCTTGAGTGTAATATTTGTTCACATTTCTTTCAAAGGAAATCCAAAAGCAACCGGCCCAAAGACTGAAGAGGAAACAGAAGATTATGAATGATTGAAGCAAGCATATCTCTGAACAACCTGGTCTTTGTCTTTAAATAAATGTATTTTTTCTTTACTTACTAGAGTGGTGGTCTTGTAGTTGGAGAGAAACTGCACATAATCTGCATTGTGTGTTGTTACTACAGAGATAAAATGTTAATCAGTCCTGATCTAAACAAGTGCTGATACGTTATTTCTAGTAGGGGTGGGTAGAATGTTCTGAACTCATACTCAAATATGTGTTTTATTTCTCTGAAATAAAGTCTCAAGTAATAATATCTTTTCAAGAAACAACTTGAGTAGAAGTACAGATGCAGGTTAAGTACTGAGTAACTTATAGAACTGCAGTGAGATCTTATAGTATATCCAGCATCTATCAGCATAAGAAGTGATGATTGATAGACGCAGTTCCTCTCTTTTTGGTGTACTCTTCATCTAAACTAAATGGGCGTGTAAGGTTAGATGTATGACCAATTGCAAAGCTGTACAGCTGATGTAAGTAGTTTTCTCATAAATATACTTACATTCTTGTAACATTACCAAGTTTTCACATCATTTCACATCAAACCACCCTGAATTGCCTTTGTTTATAGCTTAACCATTTAGATGTGCAGAAATTGGTGGAAAATTGCCCTGTAATATATACACTATATGGCCAAAAGTCTGTGATCACCTCATCATCACTGCTACATGAGTTTGTTGGACATCTCATTCCAAAACCAGGTGCTTTAATATAGACTTGCCCCCAACCCTAACCCTCCCAACACTTTTGCGGCTCTAACGTCTACTCTTTTGAGAAGGCTTTCCGCAAGATTTTGGATTGTGTCTGTTGGAATTCATGCCTATTCTGACAAAAGAGCATTTGTAAGGTCAGTCATTGATGTTTGACAAAGTAGGCCTGGCTCATAATTGAGGTTCCAATTAATTCCAAAGGCCACTGGAACTCCTTCACAACAAGGGGGACTGGGGGACCAGTCATGTTGGAACAGAAAACGGCCTTCCCCAAACTGTTGCCAGCCTATTATTGTCTAAAATGTCTTTGTATGCTTTTGCATTACCCTCCACTGGAACAACAAGGTCAAGCCCAAACCCTGAAACACAGCCCCAGACCATTATCCCTCCACCACCAAACTTTACTGTTGGCAGTATGCATTTGGGTATGTTGCATTCTGGCATCCACCCAACCCAGATGTGTCCATCAGACTGCCAGATAGTGAAGCGTAAGCAGCTGCTCAACCATGAAAACCAATTTCATGAAGCTCCCAACTCACAGTTAATGTGCTGATGTTGTTTTTGGAGGCAGTTTAGAGCTCTGCAGTGAGTGATGCAACAGAGGATAGGTACACACTTCAGCGCTTGGTGTGAAGCTACTGGTTCGTGGCAGAGGTGTTGTTGCCTTTTTGCCCCAGGTCAGAAATCTCATGATCTTGTGGCAAGGGTGGCACCTTATGATCATATGATAGTGCCACATTCAAACACATTCAAAGAAACCCATTCTACTGCTATTGTTTGTCTATGAAGACCACGACTGTGTGCTTGAATTTGTACACCCGTTAGCAATGAGTGGTTGAAACACCTGAACTCAGTAATTAGGAGAGGTGTCCACAGACTTCTGGGCCATATAGTGCATATGAGCATGCAAGGAGTTATCACTCACCTCTGAATACTGAACTGTAAAGAGAAAATTACGTAAGGCAGGTAGCAAATACCATACATAATGTAACAGACATTTATGCTTAAGGGACTCATTAAAATTAGTTTGAACCCTGAACCTAAACGACCACTTCACTAATGGCTATAAGGAAAACATGTTGGCCCGTACGGGGATCGAACCCGCGACCTTGGCGTTATTAGCACCACGCTCTAACCAACTGAGCTAACCGGCCGGTGATACACTTGTGTGGGAATATTCTCTTTTTCAGGATCACATTGTAATTCATGGTACCATTCAGGCGTACATGTATTATTGTACGGGTTTGAAGGCAGAGGTCTCAAATGCTGAAATACAAGTTATGACAGACGAGACTGACATGCGAGGCATTCTTCCTCTCTAAACGTCTCGCACACTGAGTTACGTAACGCCGCTGTAAACATTTCAGAAGAAGAGAAGCTCGACAGCACCGCTGTTCGTCTGTACGTTAACTTTTATGTGGAATCATCCTTCGAACGCCGGCACACCGCAGTGCGCGTCCCCGACTGCAGCTCTCGGAGCGGCGGCGCGTTCATGACGGCCAAGGGCGCGCGCCCGCAGACGTTGCTCAGGCTTCAAGATGGCGGAAGCCCTGACAACTCAAGAAGAGGTGGTAAGACACCTTCACGTTTTCTTCTTCTTTTTTTCTTACACAGGCTTCACCGCGCCCGCCTCATTCCTCAGGCAGTGTTTATGGCCGTTTTAACCGTTTGTCGTAACTGACAAACCCGAATGTGATCTGTCGTCTTCACAGCGTGAACGGTTAGTCCTGGGAGACGCGGCCCAGCGGCTGTTTTCTAACCCGTGTTCGCTTTAGTTAGCAAGCTAACTTGCTAACACCTTTCCCGGGAAATACTGAGCTAAGCTCAGCCATGTTTACTGACTTTCTTATTAATGGTCGACAGAGGCGTTTGAATATATCTCACATTCATTTGTAATTAGTGCGAGTCCTGTCACAGGCAGCTAAAGCTTAAGGAAAGACATAGGAAAGGTCCGTCACATTTCTGAAGCAGCTTACCGCTAGCGAGGCTAGTTAGCGTGCCTGCTAAATTGCTTTTAGACGGAAAGGGAGTGAATTTAATTATAAGAAACATTTCAGCCTCAGCTAACGATAGACTGCTTGTCAGTTCTGCACACTGTTGCTGCCACTGCAGGTAGGACACATTTAGCTAGCTTATGCTGATCTCTTGCAAAGCCTTTTCTATAATAGGTCTCAGTATTTTCATAATGTGGGATATCCATCCACACTCAGCAGCCCTGTATTAGCCCGCTATAAGGTCTCTTGCATAAAACTGTCTGTTCTATATTCTCCTCTTGTTTTACTACGTATTTCAAACGCTTGCATGCTTAAAAGTCTCCACTTAAAGTGAATTTTTGTCCAATATGCCTGCATGATTCTAGGGTTAAGATGTAAAAGAGTCATTCAGAATGGTTTGATGCGAAATGTTCCAGTGGAGAGATACCTGTGGACTACCTGTGGAGAGGAACCAGACATCTGGGGGCGTATAAAGGGGAATTCCACCAATTTTTAAAATTATTCATGAATAACTCTGAGATGTAAACAAAGTCATTCAGAGTGGTTTACGTGAAATGGTTTATTGTAGAGAAACTTACCAACTCAGATTTCTTTCATAGTGGTGGTGATAGTGAACCTGTGGTCACGATGTCTGCAACATAAATATAGCCATTTTATTTACTATCCATAACCACCAGTGAACCTATCTGAGTTTTTTATGTGTAATGTTGATAGTGCTAAATAAATAAGTTTTTTTTTGCCTTACAGTGCCCTGCCATGAATGGTCGAGGGTACATAATTTGTACTCCTCACAGTTTGTATGTTAGTTGGGATTCGAGAAGATGCTCTTTTTGTCAATCCTCCCTAATTGTAACTGATAACTTGTGGCAAAAACTGACAGTTAAGCTGAGGCCATACTTTAGTTTAGTCAACAGGTTCCCAGCCTCGTACCCCCTGTTGTGCACATTTTCATGGTTTCATCTTCAGGCAACCCCACTTTATCTCAGAATGGGCTTGTTAATGAGCGGGGCTGGCTTTCCCCAAAAGCAAAGTGTCAAATCACATCATTAAAAAAAATCTTCTAATATTCGATTGAAAGATCTGTGCTTCAGTAACGTCCCTCTGCACCAGCAGGTGGGAGGATTTTATTAATTGATAATATAATATTTGACCTCCTCCTCCCACCTTTCTTATTCTGTCTTTGAGAGAAAAAGCTCAGCTAGCTGAACGTCCCTCCCTGATGCCGCGTTGCACTCTAAAATCTGTCACAGTGTGAAAGAAAAATGTGTTATGATTTCCAGTTTAAACAGATGCAGGGCAGGGTTTGTTCCAAGCCCCCAGGGAGGCATTAGTTTAGTCAAAGTTTAAAACAGCTTGTACAAGAGGTGTAAGAATACTTGACTGTTTAGCTAGCTGTAGATTATGAGTGCAAGAGTGCTGATGCTTTTAAGTGTGCTAGTTGTATGTTCACTGATTTTTGACTGGTAAGCAGTAATGGAAGTTGTGTGTGCTGCAGGTGATGTGCAGATGAATTCGGCATGTTTTTATCTGTGTTTTTCTCAGGCAGTGGAGGAGTTTCTGGCTGAGGTGAGATGTAGAGAACAGTCACAGAATGCCGCCCTCGTCAGTCAAATCACTGCAGTCAAGTTCCTCATGGCGCGAAAGTTTGATGTCCGTAGAGCCATAGACCTCTTCCAGGCTTACAAGGTAGGGTATAATTTCTTCTTGACCCCTCTTCATAACAAGCACAGCTTCATTCGAGTGCTGTTTTATTTCACTGTGACTAGTGTACCTTTGTATCATTGGTTTTAAATGGATAGTTTGGCAAAAAATCGAATTGACTTCATTTTCCACTTACACCACATGCAGTCGATTAGCTGAGACATGTTTGTTGTCCTAGTTTAGAACTGGAGCTAATATTGCTAACGTATACTGGAAGTCATCTTCCAAACTGTTGGACTATAAATACATGTCTAAAACTTTTCTCAACCTACTCAAACTGCGTCCAATTCTTAATTCAGGTCATGCAGACAAGTCAGTGTAATTTAGAACACAGTATGACTCATATGCAGTATAAAAAGTACTTCTCCATGTCGCTGAAAGAAGGGACAGCCATTTAGGATACCCTGAATCACTTCTTTCCTGAGCACATTTGCTATCATTCTGGGCTCGGACAGGGCTCAGAGAATTCAGAACACCGATGTAGAGAAGGTAAGCGAGTGGAGTCAGAAAGTCAATTCAGTGTCTTATTGCAAATTTGAGGACCATGTTTTCTGCACAATTGAGCTTCGACTGTATTTGTTTGAACCTGAATATGTGCACAAGGGAATGTGTTAGTGACTAGTGACTTCTCAGACCACCTTTAAACATGAAGATGAAGTTAGCTTCTTATTTGAATTTTCTGTTCCACTTCAAATGGTGCAGCAGTTATATTGTGGCATCTCAGACACTAGAACGTAACTGCTGCACCATTTAAAGTGGAATGGAACTTCAGCCTTGTTCTCTTAGCTAGCATTACATATCCCATGACGTTAAGTGAGCACAATAAAGACAAAGAAAAACTGAACTGCACTTCCCTCAGATTCCCGTCTTTGAGGTGTCATCCGTAAAAATGTGCTTGGTTTTAGAATATCCTGCTGGAGACCTTCCTCGTAACTGTCAGGTGAAAAATTATCACCACATACACAAGATATTTTGCATAGGAACTTAACTGAACATCTCTGTTTGTGGTTCGCTGCCAAAGGCAAGAGATTGCATGTGTCTGCATTAGTAGGAAATCTGTGGCAGCGTATCAAACTACATGTAGATTTCTTTGTCCTGTTTTTGCAAAAAGTAACACAACACCTCATTTTCGCAGGTTTATCATTATTCGATATGCAGCTTCCAGCTCTCCTACAGTAAGCAAGCCTTAGGTATTACTGCACTAACACTATGTACCTGCATAGTGACCCCTGAGATCCAGCATCCAGGACGATTACGATTCAGAGGGCTGCGATGCGATTATAAAACGATTATCGATGCATCTTGATGCATCTTTGTTTTCTATACAGGATTTCTTTTTTCTCACTGTGTGAGGACTTGGTACTTTTAAAGCAAAGTATTTGTAATGATCCATAATGAATTTACTTCCAGTATCTTTTATTAATAAAACAAAGAAGTGATGTGGCAAGTGAACTAGAAGGCTCTCATTCACTGCTCTTGTTTGGAGCACATGAGACGCAGGCTGCCACTCATCTGTGATAAAATGCACAGTTATGGTGAAATAAGATCCTGTGGCAAAGGATGTCCACGCAGCACATGTTAGAGCTGTCCTACCCGTTTTCTTTAGTGTTTTTATAAGTTTTGGTCTCGTTGTAGAGAGTGGGGAGTGCTGGGTCAGTAAAATATCTTTGAGACAGGCATGTGCGACTGAGAACTGGCGTGCAGACTGCAAGTCACCTAGCAACGAAGTCTCGCCTAGCTAGTAGCTAACGAAAAGGCAAAGAGAGAGATTTAAGACGAACATTTGGAGATAAATGGACTTATTAGCATTTATAAGCACCGCAGTTGGTTTCCTGGTATGTTAAATCTGCAACAAGAGACTGTCAAACACTAAAAAGTTGCGAAGATAAAATCAGCTTCTCTTTCGAATTTTCCTGGTCCACCTTATATGGTGCCGCATTTACATTCTGGCACCTCAGGCAGAATTTAAGGTGGAACGATAAAATTCGAACAAGAAGCTGGCGAATAAGTAGTGACTTCAGCCTTGTAAAACAGTTGAATGTTGGGAGACATTTTACAAGAAACTCGTCTACTTTTGAAGAAAAGTTCTCTGGCGGCAATGGGAGGAAAGCGGCTATAGCTAAATCTTAAAGCAGAGCAAAGTAAGTCTGCATTTTCGTTCATATTTTTAGCCTATACTAGGACATTATCGCATACTGAGACATATTGGACATTAAATGTTGTGGATCCCAAGCTGGTTGGATTTTTGGTGAAAGGACAAAATGGCTCTTCTTAACATTTGGGTTGTCGACTCCTGACCTAACCTAGCTTTTAATGCAGAGTGTGCCTGTCGGATTTCTTGCTCATCCAGTTGTGTTTTTATGTGCCGCGATACTAAATTGCCCCTAGGTGTGAGTGTGTGTGTGTGAGTGTAGATGTCTCTATGTCTGCCCTGTGATGGACTGGCAACCTGCTCAGGGTGTTTCCTGCCTTCCACCCAGTGAATGCTGGGATAGGCTCCAGCACCCCCTCGACCCAGGAGGATAAGCAGCTTAGAAGATGAAGATATTTGAAGAATAATTTAGTGGTTTTCACATGAGACACTCTCACTGCTCCCTTTTTGCTAATTAGGCAGCAGGGCCACACTGTGGTTTGTGTCAGATTATAATGTGTGTTTACTTGTATATGTTTATGTTTAGAATACTAGGATAAAGGAAGGTATCTACAATATTAATCCTAATGAAGAACCTCTGAGGACTGAGCTGCTCAGTGGCAAATTCACAGTTCTGGTAAGTCTGTTTTTAGATACAAGATTTTTTATTCAACAGCCATAATTCTTTCTGCATAATTTTGAAGCAGTATGATTCTACATTCCACACTGATTCCTGCTTGTACATTTACATTAATTATATTTTTAGTTGAATTAGTGATCATGAAAGGAAGGGAGAAGAATAACAAGTAAAATAATAAGTTATTCTGTTGAAACTAAAGTTCAGAATCAAGTCAACTTTTTGTTCTGTTTGGATTGCATTTGTACCATAGTGTCATTCGTGACCACAAATTGTTCAAACCAGCATGGTTAATGGCTGTGTGCATGGCCAGTAAATGCTGTGAGCCCTTCATAATATGTGCTATTGCATTTCTGTTGAATTTTTTATGATTTGTTTGTCTGGATGTGTGTAGCCAGGGCGTGATGCAAAGGGTGCAGCCTTGGCACTCTTCACTGCTCGCCTCCACCGGCCCGATGATACTACCCATAAGGCTGTTCTTCAGGCCATCATATATCAGCTGGACAAGGCCATAGAGAGGTAAGACATGCATCCCTTTAAATCCACTGTACATTTGAGTTGAACAGATATTCATTGGTCACTAAATACACTACACACTTGGTAAAACTTTAGGAAATTCAAAATGGAAATCATGATAAAAAGACTTGCATATAGTACATGTTAGTTTATTATCACTACACAGTTTGTTATTATGGTGTATGTGTCTTGTACTGTCCGTTGAATGAGTTCTGTTAGTGACTGTTTACATGTTGATTATTATAGAGCATGTTATCTTAATTTTTTTAAAGCTGTTGCCCTGCTAGCCTTTATTTTACCCTAATGTGTAATTCTTTAGTAATTAACTGTTTATTAATTAAATATTTTTTGCATGTGTATCTAAAGTATTCAGACTCAAAGAGATGGTCTTATATTCATCTATGACATGACAAACTCAACCTATGCCAACTTTGACTACGAACTCTGTGTGAAGATTTTGAACCTCCTCAAAGTAAGTGTTTCTTTGTCCACTAAGAATAACATTTTGATTGCACAGGGCCACAGCTGTTATAAAGATTAAGCTGTCCTACTATTGGTGTCAGTACTTACATTACTTTCATTTATGTGAAGGGTGCTTTCCCTGCCCGATTAAAGTGTGTATTCATCGTGTCATCGCCTCTCTGGTTCAGAGCTCCGTTTGCCGTACTACGTCTTTTTGTGCGAGAGAAACTCAGAGAGAGGGTATGTCCATTTCACTCTGTATGTCACCTTAGCAGACATATAACAATACTTCTGTTTTGAACTAGTATCCATTTATATAATAGTACTGTATACAAAAAGATGCCTTGCAAACTTTTTCAACCCTTTTGAAACTTAACGGCATTTTCTGGATTATAAATGATACGCTTATGCTACATGGCTTGAAGATTATAGCCCTCCACACTCGTGTTAATATAGAGCTAGACCTCCCCTTTGCTGCCATAACAGCCTCCAGTCATCTGGGAGCACTTCCCATTTTTGGAGCATGACTGCAGGGATTTGCTCCATTGAGCCACAAGAGCATTAGGGAGGTCAAGCATTGATGTTGGGTGATATTGCCTGGCTAGCAGTCAGCATTCCACTTCATCCCAAAGGTGTTGGATGGGATGAAGTGAGAGCTCTTTTCAGGCCAGTGTAGTTCTTCCAAACTCAGCAAAGTGTCTTTATAGACCTTGCATTGTGCATGGAAGTGTTGTCATGCTAAAACTGTACAGGCCATTTTCCAAACTGTTGCCAAGGGTTGGATGCACACATTCCTCTAGAATGTCACTGTCTGCTGTTGCATTAAGATTTCCTTCATTGGCCCAGCCTAAACCAAAAACCTGCTTGAGACCGTTATTCCTCCTCCACCAAATTTTGCAGTTCACACTATACATTCAGACAGGTAATGTTCTCCTGGCATCCCCCCAAACCCAGATTAATTTGTCAGGCTGCAAGGTACTAAACTGTGATTTATCACTCCAGAGAACACATTTCCACCACTGCACCTCAGAGCTGTTGTTGCTCCTAGATGTTTCCTCCTTACAACAACACAGCTTGCAGTTGACCTGGACATTTATAGCAGAAAAGAAATTTGATAAACTGATTGTTGGAAAGTTGGCTTGCACCTGTTAGGAGTGAATGTTCCTGAAATATCCAGAGCCACTCATTAGAAAGGGTATTGACACATTTTTTTTAGCCCTGTTGTTTTCCCAGTCAGTATATCTTTTAACACTTCTGTAAACAATTATCTTTTGACTTTGAAAATTCATTTTATGAATGTACGGATCACAAATATATCTGCAAATATCGTTTTCAATCAGTTGAGAACTTTCAAAGGGGTTGAATAATTGAGCAAATTCGTCATTGTTTTAATATGATCAAGTATATAAAGTTTTTAAATATTTGTGCTTTTGTTCTTATGTAGATTCTTATTTCTCTCAGGTATGTACAGTAAAAGCTCATGAACTGGCCAATCACATCCCAGTCAGCTCCCTCCCAGAGCACCTTGGAGGCTCATCACAGTACAGCCATATTGCATGGATCCAGTCATGCGTCAACTCCAGCCCCAACAACCCCACCAACTCACCCTACGCCACTGCGGACTGCCTGGGCAGCTTATTGCGTTCCTACTCCCTTGAACAAAACCAGTCGGCCAACAGTAACCCCATCACTGCCAACACCTCCGCCCAGGTGGGGGCCACCCTCCTTGGAGACGGACTTAACTCCAACTGCCCCCACCTGGATGATGGTAATGCAAACCTGCAGAACCACAGGCATGCCCACTGGAACGGGTCAGTGCTGCCAGGGTCAGGGCTCATCACAGGCTCGAATGCCAACGTTGTAAATGGTCGCGGGCACCAGCCTCCCCCACAGTCTGACACGCCGCCCGACACACCCCTGCACCAAAAACACACCTCAGACATGGCGGGCGCCTCGGTGACTAAAGTGGCATGCCTGTCGATAACTGCAGGCAAGAAGGCAATGGTGCCGAGGACAGCCAGCAGGAAGGTGACTTTTTCGAAGAGGATGCAGGAGATGGAGTCCCGCCCCTTCCTCAGAAATCCTCAAGGCAGACACCCCTGTCCCGCAGCCCCGTCCAGGACATGAGCTGGTTGCCAGGAATGGGTGGGGAGGCATCGGTGACGTCCATACATGTCGCGGAGCCAGGGGGCATGACTGTGCAGGAACTGGTGCAGCACATCAAACGCAAGAAAAAGAAAGGCATCTACCAGGAATACGAGGAGATCCGCAAAGAACCGCCTGCTGGAAACCTTCGACTACTCCAAGTGAGATATTGAATGCTGCAAATGATGATTACAATGCTGATTGCATTAGCAAGCTCATGGGCCTTCACAAGTAGAAGAAGTTAAGCAGAATTTGATTTCTTTTAACCAAATACGTTGCAGTTTCGGGTGTAAATATCTGACCTCACAGTGATTTGATTTGATTCCAGGCAACCCCAAATCAAAATTGACTTTTTTTATTTTGTTAGTTCATGACCTTAGTTACACCATACAATTAAAAAGACAAAAATCTTGGTTTTCCATAATCTTCAGTCAAAATGTGCTCTAGCGGGCAAGGAAAAATAATATTAATGTATAACGTCACGTTTTATCTCCACTTCCCACCATCCCCACTTATCATAATGATCAACTAGCTCAGTGACCATCCCTGATAATGTGTTTCACTTGCAGGTTCACATTCAGGAGAAAAGTGCATCTCAACATCATTACATCTCAAATGTTGTGATTGGATTCTTTTGTTATTTTTTAAAAATACTTGGAGTTTATAAAAGTAATTGAAGGAACTGTTTACACAGCAACATAGTAGAGACAAAGAAATACACTAAACATTTTTGTTGTGACAGTTGCTTGAAAGTGTTTATTTTTGGTCACAAATTGAGCACATCTTTTAGTAATGTTATTAGCATTAACTGCAGTTGTCTGACATTCTCAGATCGATGCAGTTAAATCATCACCTTCAGATTGATGCATTGATGGGTTTTTACACCTTTATTCGCCATGCCCATTACTTTCATATTTTGTTGCCCATTGTTTTCTTTATTCAGTATCTGTTGATATATGGAAATTGATTCAAGTTCCTCTTTAACGCAGGGATGTCCAAACATTCAGTCCCTGACTGAAGTGTAATCTAGAGAGGTCACAAACTAACAGAATTGGCAGCCATTATTTACAAGAATGTTTCACCTAATGGAGAGGGAAATAGTCACGGGAGAGTTTGTCCCCCTCATATGTAACGCTGTGATGCTTGTTCCAACAGGAAACCAGCTAACCAAATAAAGAATCGCTACAGTGACGTCCTCTGTTTGGACGAATCTCGCGTGCGACTTTGTCCTCTCAACGATGAGGATGATGAGGTCAGCATCACTCCACTTATATTTTACCCTGTTTTAATCAACTGATATCCACTAGTTTGTAACTGACTACCATTGTAGTCGGTTCTTTTAGGAAAATTACTACTGAAACACTTCTGTCTGTCTGACTGCAAAAATAGTAATGGACAAAGCAAAATGGTCCACACTGATCTATTAGAGCCTGAGAAATCCATGTTTTCATTTGCAATGAGGCATCTGCGAGCCATGGCTTTAAATATATAAAATACTCTGATGCCTTGCTATAGGATTTCATTTAGAAACTAGTCTGTAAAGAGATGTTAAAAAATTGCACTGTTTAAAGCAGTCCTTCTTCTTACATAGTTTTCTGAAGGAGTTTTTTTTTCATGCAGACATCTGACTACATTAATGCAAGTTTCATGGATGGCTACAAGATGACAAATGCTTACATCGCTACTCAGGGTGAGAAACGTCTTTATTTGATCATAGTATTTCATATATGATGTAATTTACTGGTGAATATCCTCTTAATTGTTTTGGACTAGAGGAAATAGCTCTTTAGTGGGATATTTCTGACACCCCAAAGATTGTGAAAATATGAGTGAATTCTTAGTAAATGAGCAGGACCTACTAAACTTCATGCAAATAGAAAGAGAAGTTACTGCTCTTTTGGCTGACGTTAGTAAGTATGCTGATTGATGTTTCTTATACCAGAAGTGCCCAGACCTGGTCCTGGTGATCTACCTACCATTGTTCAGTTAAGCTGAAGCTATGTCAGAGTTCGGACGGTCATGAAAATCCTTAAAGAAGTTTGGTTTTTTAGGCCTGGAAAAGTCATGCAAAACAATAAGTATTGGAAAAATCATGGGATTTCTTGGACCTTCCCCCCATGCGATTCATCATCTCATTACATTTGAAGCATTGAAGAGTCTAGATCGCAAAAATAGTACTGAGACTAATGTGGACTAGCTTCACTAAGGCTGGGTGTACACTACACAACTTCTGCAATCTTAAAAGATTTCTAAAAGCATCACGAGCATCACAAACTTAACGTCAGTTTGTCACAGAATTAGCCTTCACACTAGACGACAAGGCAAAGAGAGTGTAGCTCACATAACGAGTTTGCGCTACTAATAAGAGCTCAAAATCTCTTCAGAGATCACATGACACAAACAAAGCTCAACTTACTGGATCAGACCTGTGTATTTGGGGTTGAGAAATGGTGATATCACAGAGAGATGGAGAAATATGAAATTTTAACTTGAAATTGTAAAAAGAGCGCCTTGACCACTGGATTCATACATTATGTACATGATAACGGCTCTTATCTGCCTGTGTTTACACCAGCTCTTTCTCCATGCTCCGCTGTTCAGGCGGTGTGGGTGCATGTCTCTTCACCTTTTTCTCCACTCTGTGCGTCATGTGTGTGACATTTCACACTGCACGACCCGTTTTGAGTTGTAAATATCAAACCTTCTGATATTGGAGGGCCTCCGATCATCTACGCCATCATCGAGCACCCAACTTGGAAGATCACTTCAGATTGTGAACATTTGTCACCAGGAACAAATCGAGGTTAAAATCCGGTAAAAATCATGTAGTGTAGGCCCAGCTTAACACGTTGTTAGTATGAATCTCGACTAACTAAAGTGACATTCAGGACGTATGTGCTGTGAAAGATGTTCTGACATTCGAGCACTGGAGAAGACGAATTAACAACACGAATGTAAGAGGAAAAACACACCGCAGCTGCTTCTCACACCGACACCTGCATGACTGGCTTTTTCACTGTGAGTCAAGCTAGGCTTATACGTGAAGCATCATGAGTAGCGCATGGGTGTGCACCTCCGAATTTTGTAACTTTGTGCTCGCCGCTCGTGGTCCTTCATTCAAAATGAATGAATTAGAAGGGAGATTTGCTGAGCACGTTCACCTCTTGGCGCTTGTATGATGCCTCTGTCATGTCATATCACAGAGAAAACAGCAGTGATGGAAACACTAATTTGTTCGCTTCAGGTGTGCACACCATCTGCAGAGTCTTGCGCAACACCCTGCTGCGAAACTCAGCCTTCACAGCGCTTAGTCTGCACTGCAGCAGATAAACAAACGTCACATGCTGCAGCTACTTTAAGAAATGATGAGCTAACTGCCTTACAATGATACACCATTCTTTTGGCCTGTAAATACTTACAAAGAAGTGCTTTCTTTGTATTACCTGTCAATACTCTGATCTGGAAGTTGTTGTAAATACTTCAAAAATGTTTGGTAAGATTTATTGTTTCAGTATCATTTATTTATTTACTTATTTGTATATAGATTACATTTAATTCTTTAAAATATTCCGGCTGCAACTTATAACTTGGGGAGGAAGAAAGAAATAAATGTGTTTGGATTTTTATATGTGTGTGCTTTGTGTTAATGATGAGTCTTGCATATAAAATGCTTGTGGTTTTAGGGCCTTTGCCAAAAACGTTTGCCGATTTCTGGAGAATGGTGTGGGAGCAAATGGTATTAATCATCGTAATGACGACAAGGTAAACACCACTCATATACCCTCTGTCTTCTTCCTGTCCTTTCTTTCTTGCTTTTTTCCAAAAATGACACAGAGGCCTCCAACATATAACACAAAGTGTAATACAAATTCTGCCAGTATTTTATGTATTTTATTTAAAAATGGACTAGAACACTGAAACGGGATAAGGTTTAATGGCCTGATGAGTCTAAATTTGAGGTCTTTGAAAGTAACAAGTGGCAGTGTACATGCTGCTGAAGCAGTGAAAGACTTTACAATGGTTACAACAAGCATGGTGGAGGGTGAAGTTTTAGATGTATGTGGTGTTGGTTGGTTTGCCTTTGATTGAAGGCATTGTAAATGCTCATAAGTACAAACAAATTTTGATACATCATGCAGTACCCTCTGGAAAATGTTTGATTGAGAGGAAATTAATTCTCCAGGCAAGATAACAACCCTAAGCACACTGCTGAGATGATCAAGAAAAAAGGTGCTGGTGTTCTCAGAACAGTCCAGACCTCAAGATCATTGAATTTGTTTAGGATTACTTGCATCATGAGAAGCAGAAAATGGAACCAACTTCAAAGACATAACTTTGGAAGTGTGGAAAAATGTCCCTGCAGATTTCTTTGAAAAAAAAAGTTACAGTAGATGAGAAGTGTGGACACACTAAATACTGAAATTGTTCCGTTAAAATTATGATGCGTAGTTGAGGCTTCTGTGTAATTTTTTCCTGACATTGAAAATTGAATAATGTAAATGTTTTGGGTTTGTGAATGGAAATTAAGTTAATGAAATGGTGGTGTTTGAATTTTTTTCACAGTACTCTATAAACATTATTAAATCTGGTTTGAGAAGTGTCTTTTAACCATTGCTCAGCTATGTAGAATTTCTCTCAGATTACTTCAGAATAATGAATTATAAATTAATCTGCTACTTTAGGTAATCAACTATGGTGCCAGTGATATTCAAAACTTAGCTTCGTTTAACATACTTAATTTCTCTCCCTCTCTCAGAGTTGTGGAGCGAGGCCGGGTGAAGTGTGGACAGTACTGGCCTTTGGAAGCAGGCCGCACAGAAGAGTATGGGTACTTCCTGGTGAGAAACGTCCATATTGAGATGTTTCAGGACTTTAAACTGTCACATCTGGAGCTCTATAACAGTCAGGTGTGTCTGTCTTTCTCACACTCATCTGTTCTCTCTCATCTGTCCTTTATCTCTTTCTCAACCGCAGCCCATTTTCTCTTACTAAAACATACTCATGTGAATTGAGGTCATTGGTTGTTAAGTGCAAGAGTCAAAGCAATAGTCTGATGTTTTTCCTGTTCAGTGTTTAATCTTGACAGTTTTATATTTGCTTTTAAAATATGCGAAAATGAATGAGGCTCTACTTTGTTGGGATGATGTTACTGCCGAACATTTTTGTGACTGCTGTAGTTTCTATACACCATGCCTTTCTACTTTAGCAGCACAAGTATTTGGAGCTAGAGTTCCCTGTAGAATTGTTGTAAAACGTAAGTAGATCGACCATCTTTCAGCACAGGAACTAAAAACTGTTTCTTTGAAACTGTTGCTTCTTTTTTTTTGATAATAAATGCGAATTGTTTGAAAGTGAGAGATGGAGGCCAAAGCAAAGCAGGTGCTGCAAGAAACTAGAAACACTAGAAAGAATTTGATGTAAGAGACTAAATGGAACTGAATAAAAAGTAGTCTTTCTTAAAATGTGCTTGGATATGGGAAAGCAAGGCACACCCTAATGTGGAGTAAAATTTAACACTTATAACACAAGACTTTTTCTCATGTGATAATGACTTTCTTTATAATTGGTGTTTTTGATTACTGAGTCACAGAATTTTTAAAAAAATTACAACAAACAAACATTTATTTATATAGCACCTTTCTAAGGTTACAAAAGTGCTTCACAACAGTAAAACAACATAAAACCAAAGACAGTGCAGCTTCATCCACAAACAACACAGAGAACATTAGCTATGTCCAACCTCAAAGGCTAAGGCATACAGATACGTCTTAGACTTAGCAAGTCTAATGTCTAAGGGCAGAGTATTCCAGAGTTCCAGAGTAAAAATATCCTCTGTAGTCATGTGCAAAAGTTCTGTTGTTTTTGTACATGAAATAAGTAAAAATTATGCACATTTTAAAGCTTACATTCCAAGATTATCAAGTCAGCAGTGATGCACCTGATTCTCCACTGATCTCAGCAGTTATTAAGTGTGCATTGTAGAGAATTTTGTTGTCATTCTGTATGCATCAATCACACAAAAATGAAAAAAAAAATTCCGAAATATGCTTGGGATGCAAAATTGGACATGGTGTCTGTTTCCACTTTGAGGATGTGAAAACATGTTTGTTTAAACTTCCAAAATAGAATTTCCCCAGACATCCTGAAGAGATGTTGAAAAGAGCCATTTCCACTATGATCCTGCTATGATATGGGATTCTTTTGTGGGTTTTCCCCAGATTGCCAGTTCTGATTGTATCTCTGATATTGCCTGGTAAAGCTTCTGATTCTTTCACCGTTGTTCTAGGCTTAACCTTGTGCTTTTGACATTGTCTGTCATTATGTATTTCTTTCTTTTTTTCTCTCACAGACTGGTGAGTGTAGAGAGGTGTCTCATTACCTCTACGTAAGTTGGCCAGATTTCGGGGTTCCAAAGTCTGCTTCAGCCATGTTAGACTTTCGGGCGCAGGTTAAACAGAGGCAGGAGCTTGCGTTACGAACGCTGTACCCAGATTGGACAGGCCCTCCAGGGGGCCCTCCAATAGTGGTTCATTGCAGTGCTGGAATCGGAAGGACAGGTATGTTTGGATTCACACTGAGAGCTGTTGAGGTTGCTACAGCTGTTTATATACTCCAGCATTATTATGTGATGAGCTTGATCAACCAGCTTTTAAATAGCATTGATTAACGATAGGAATGCACCGATCATGATTCTGAGCACTTTATAAACAATAGTTCGATGGCCTTTTCATTAAGTGCTGTCAAGTTGATTCTAGCTGGTGAGCATTTAGTGTTTCTCAAGAATGGCCTCTTCTGTTTGGGTCTTCAGGCTTCTTGGTGTTTTATCAATGATTATTCTTATTGCCTCCATCCTAAAATGAGATCAGATCTTCATTTAAGTAAAAGTAATACATAAAGAGAACTCAATAAAACAAACGCAAAGTTATATTTTTTGCATTGCTTTATTGAAGAAAGTGATCCAACATTATATCGACATTTTGATTGTGAGTAGTATGTGAGCCTCTCGAATTAGCAGTGTGATACAGGTGATAAAGTCAGGGGGTTCAGTCAATTGAAGGACAGTCAGGTGTGAGTGTGGCTGACACTACCCTATTTAAAAAAATCTTCTTCTCAATCAAAATCTGGTCTTTACCACACACATTTGTGTGTGCATGCTAGGGATGGGCAATATGATATTTTATCATTATCGTGATCGGGGTGGACAAGTACATTTTTTGAGTATGTGTACTTGAGTGTCAGTTTTTTTGGGAACTTTTACTCTACTACATTTGAAAGACAAATATTGTACTTTTGACTCCACTACAGTTCTATGATTATTACTCATTACTCATTGCTTTGAAGCATAGCTTTAAGTCAGTGGATGATTTATTTTTTTCTCTCTAAAATATGATAAGCCATACTGTGTTCGGCACTGGACAAAAAGCAATCACAGTAAATTACTACACTACACTTTCAGTGTGTGCTGCATTTTTTGAACAGTTGAACTTGGTGGCTGTAATTATGGCTACTGCTAAGATAGATAAATATGATAAAGTTTCCTCACCAGAGCGCCAATGGCTGTGTCCCAAGTCCATCTTTGAAGTTTTTGAAAGAAGAGAGATTCTGTCATTTTAAATGTTTGCTGTGTTTACCGCACACAGACTTCATCATTGGCTGTCCAACCTGAGAAAGCATGTTGAGGATTGTAAATATTTGTTTAATTCCTGTAAACATATTAAACAAAGTTCTCTGTGCTTGTAGTGGTTGCAGTTTTTATGCTATGATTGGTCAAATTACTTTTTTTAAATGGATTTTTATGGATTTTTTCGCAGGTGGCTGTGATGTGTTCACTTATACAATCATATCCACTGCAGTAGATAAGAGATGCAACTTGAAAATCGCAAATATGTTTGCAAATGTGTGACGAATCTGGTGACCGAAGCAGACCACAACTGTTAACACAGCACATACTAATAGCTAGGATTTGTAGCATATTCCACAAGCTTTTTATTCTACAGGTCCTACAAACAAGTTAGTGCATTCAGTAGGTTGTTTGTCATTAGGTTCTGGAAATGCATTGTGGCAACAATACAACAACGCGTTGACATTAAAAATGTACTCTTAAGTATTTTTAAAACCAAGTACTCCAGTAAAATTTGACTGAACAACTTTCACTTGTATGGGACTAATATTTGAATGGGAGTATCTATACTTTTACTCAAGTAATGGAGTTGTGTGTTTTGTCCACCCCTGATCGTGATACATTACTTGCTTGCGTTATATGCTTTATATGCTTTTGGAGCATATCTTGGCTGTCGTCCGTATTTTAAGAACACTGACTGACTTCATGTTTCATAAAGCACAAAATATTGTTGTCTTCAAATATTGTGATGTTATATTTTGCCATATCACCCATCCCTAGTGCATGCCATGTCTCAGTTCAAAGGAGAACTATAAGGACCTCAGGAAAACATTTGCCAGTGCTCATTAGGAAGGAAGAGGTTCTGAAACAATTACTGAAGTGTTTGGACTTAACCAATCCACAGTCAGGTCGAAACAAATGGAAAAAATTCAACACCATTGTTACTCTTCCCAGACGCGGTTGTTCAGCAAAAATGACTCCAAGAGAAAGAGGTATAATATTCTGAGAGATCACAAAGAACACTGGTATAACATCTATGGATCTGTAGGCCTCTCTTACTCTGCCTGATGCTGGACTCGTGAGCACTGATATTAGGTGAACACTGAACAAGAATAGAATGTGTGGCATGATGGCTTGAAGATGTGAAACATGGTGGCGACAGTATCATAGTTTTTTACTGCTATTGGATCAGGACAGCTTGTAGCTATCTGATGGAGCTATGAATTCTGGATTGTTTCAAGAAATTCTACAGGAGAATATTTGGGTATCCATCTGTAAACTGGACCTCAACAGAAGGTGGGTCCTGCAGAAAGACAGCGACCCTAAAGACAGTCTACGAAGAATAGTTGAAGCAGAAGAAATGTTGCATATTGGAATGGCGGAGTCAGCCCTTAATCCTGTAGTAATGTTGTGGCAGGACCTAAGATGTAGCGTTCATGCAAGAAAGCCCCCTAACATAGCAGAATTAATGCAGTGCTGTAAATGGGAATGGGCCAGGGTTCATCCAAGTCAGTGTGCGGGGCTGATCAACAGTTACAGAAGCCATTTGAATTCACTGCTGCTCAAAGTGTTCACACCAGTTAGTGAAGGCAGAGGTTCACATACTTTTTCTTATAAAGATATTATGTGTTTGAGTACAGTTCAATAAACTGTGTGTTATTTGCTTTACTGGGCTCTCTTTATCTGTTGTTAACTTCATTGAAGATCTAAGTCTTAAGTAACATTTATGCAGAAGTTCACTTAATGCCGAATAGTTCACAGATTTTCAAACAGCACTGTATGTCCAAAATAATGCAGCTTCAGTTTTATTATCTGGGCTTTAACTGAAAGGGTGAGGGTGAATTTCAGGTGTTTTCTTTGCCATCTTTGCATCAGTATTTTTCCTGTTCTGCTTTTGTATTGTCCAGCTTTCACATCCGTAAAGAACCACAAAAAAGAGCACAGCCTGGATTCACATATCAAATAAAGTGCTACATGAAAAGTAATAGGCAACTGACTACCTAGCCAGGATGAGTCGTGACTTTTTGGTGTAGATGTAGTACGAGGCATGAGAATGTAGTAGTAGCAGCATTCAAATACAGTTTACTTACCTAGCTCATGTTATTCATGTCATAATTGCACCACAAATTCTGTGTTTGGAGCAGAACACCATAAATCTAAAATATTGTATATAAAACAAGTGTTTCCCTTGTTAATACTGCAATGTTTGCAGATTGCCTGTTGTGCAATATCAGCTTTAACCAAAGTGGATCCAGATTACAGACAATATCTTTAATGGATGTTACATATCTGTTAAATAGCTTTTTAAAGTTTCGCTATTTTGTAGCTCCGTTGTAGCTGCAGTAAATATGCAATATTATATTGTGAAAAACTGAAATGTTGATACATGGATGAAGAATTTGACGGTCATCCAGCTCTATTATATTTTTTTTGTCTTATACAGTTAGGTCAGTAAATAACAGTAACTTTGTTGAACAAAACTTGAGGCAAAACTAAAGGTAAAATGGCCCAAGAACAAGCAGGAACATAAGACAGCCACAGTAAAGGCCTGGCAGAGCATCACCAGGGAAGAAACCCAGCGTCTGATGATGTCCGTAGGTTCCAGACTTTGGGCAATCATTGACTACAACAAGATGTTACCAATAACAGTTTAATTTTTGTTGTTAGTTCATCCAATTGTAAAAAGTATGTACTGGCTATGTATGTAAATGGTTATAATTCCTACACCTTTCACTTTGAGTTTGTGTTCATTATTTAATTTCAACTTCAGTATGCTGTGGTAAACAGATAAAATAAGTAACTTTGTGGACATCCAAATGCTTAAGGAGCTGACTGTACAGTCCTTACCATTTGAGCTTTATTAACTTATCCACCATTCACACAATCTCTGGTCTTCGCTAGGTACGTTCTGCACATTGGACATCTGCCTCTCGCGGCTGGAAGACATTGGCACAGTGGACGTGAAGCAGACAGTGCGGCGCATGCGCACACAACGCGCCTTCAGCATCCAGACGTGGGACCAGTACTACTTCTGCTACAAAGCCGTAATAGAGTACGCCCAGCAAATGGGCCGCCTGCAGCCTGTGGAGTGGTCCGACACAGAGTTGGAGACAGACAGTGAGTGAGAGGCCGAGCGAGTAGTACAAACAACAGGGAGAGAGAAAAAGCGACACAGGGAGGAAGAGGCACTGAAAAAGAAGAGATGCACGTCGGGCTCTTTTAGTCCTCCCTGCAACCTTCAACTAGGTGGAGTTACCTGACTCTGTGCTCAGTCTTTTTTTCCTTGCTGGGAAAACGGCAGGAAGAAGGGAGAGAAAAGAGCGGAGAAGAGGATTCTTTTGTCCTGCCACTTTTCAAGCCCTTTTTTTTTAAAACAACTCTGACTCTGAAGAGGTCAGTGATCGTGGCTTGGTGTACGAGTTGTAGCATTTTTTTTTTTCCTCAACATTGACTTGCACATGTAGAATGACAAACTTGAAATATTGCCCAGTTTACTTCCTTTCCTTTTCTCGTATTACCTGGTTCAAATATTCAGATTTTAGTGTCACACAACATGAGGTTAATCTCATGAAAATGGTGTGAAATTCTAAAACATAAAACTTGAACTCACAACAACATGGTAAGTGTCTGAACAGGTTCCAACATTTTTTTCCCTCTGTTTTTTTTGTTCATACATAAACTAACCTTCAAGCCAAAGGTATCGCGTTGAATGCTTGGATGTATCTGTAATGATCATTGTGACTTAAAAACGTGTATATTCTTGTAAGATACATTTATATATTGTGCATAACAACCTTTGAAAAAAGCCGTGTTTTAATATAATACTCGATGTTCAGAAGTATATATATATATAAATATATAAATATATGTAAAATTATATGTTGGATTAGAACAATAAGAGAAGAACAGGAGGATATCACAGAAAAAGAAAACTATGCTATATGTCATATATCTTGTATGAGTTCTAGTCCTGCATCCAGTTTTAATCTGTTCCAGTTCCTTACTTGATGATTATCCATCAATTGGCCTTAAATCCAGGGCTTATATTCACCAAGTGACCCAGAATAGGAGGGTTGTCGAGGAAAGCAAAACTTGGATTTAGCTCAGTCTTGGCTTGTTGTCTACAGTTAGTGCATTTTATGCATGCATGTGTGAGAGAAAGTAGATTTGAAATGTGAAGCGCACGCCTGTGACGACCTGAACAACCTACAAACTAAGTTTAAAATGCACTAATTGTAGCTTTGTTTTCTCAACTATGTAGATTCAGTTTCTTTGTTAAACGTCAAGTATTAGGCTTAATGTTGAGCAAGTCCATAGCGTTTAGCGTAACCACAAGGTGATCTGATCTTAGATCAGCACTCCTCATTCTTAGACAAATAGTGAATACTGGCCCTTGAACTTGAATCACTGCCTTGATCCTGTAAAAGATGCCCTCGATCTTTCTTTCCTGTTATCTTTCTACTCTTATTCCTCTTTGTTCTCCTTTATCCCTAAACTGTGGCCCTGTCTCAACACCTGAGGTCCTGCACTTCTCCTTCCTGGCCTATGCGGAGAAACAAAGACCCTGTTCACACTTGATCATTTCATGCGTCTTGAGTATCAGGTTTATACCCAGATAGATATTATGTGCAAAAATATTCAGGTGTAAAAGCACCCATTTAAAATTTCAGTCTGATCGCTCAAACCATTTCAGAAAGTGGTCTGAGACGCATTTTTGCCAGCTGATGCCGCTGTGAAGTGCCTGCTCAACTGCCACCACTAAACACGCATCGCTCTTCCTCCACTTCAGCTTTTGGATTCTCCTGATCAGAGAAATTTGTCCCCCAAAAATAGTAATGGCTGTTGGTGATCAGTATGCAGACCAGCTCCTCCTGCGCTTCATATGATCAGTAATAGTAGCATTTCTTCTTCAGCGTGACGTGAGTTCCTCCTCTTGAGTTTATTTCGAGAGTATTCAGTGGCCCAAGCTAGTTAAAATAAAGTGGCAGTTTGGTTAGTCTTTTTCACCTCGTCATTATTCCCTGTCGTGCTGCATTACATGATGTTTTGCCGCACATAGTCCATAACCACAGTAATTAACAGAGGAGTCTCATTAGTTTAAACACAACCATTTTATGTAGTAACTTTCAGTTGGGTAGCTTTTACATGAAATGAGCAGGTGTAAATGGGGTCATAGGGGTGGGAGGTATACTTGTGTAAAAATGAATACACATTTTGTACGGCTCGGATTTTGCCATATCGTGGTTATAGTGATTAGCCCAAAAACACAGTGAACCACGTACAGCCGAAATTGGTGAAGATTTTTAGGGCTACTAACAATCATTGTGATCTCATTGTTGTCCAGAAGGAATAACATATCACCCATCCCTTGTTTGCACCAAAAGTACACTTGCTGGGCCATTAGTTGCAAATGGTGCAGGCTTTAGGGAAGTGTGGACAGCCAGAATGCCCGTAGACTGGGGGCAGGGCCACTGGTTGTTCAGCGTTTGGAGCCCTGAGGTCAGCCTGGCCTCAGTTCTTTTGTGCCTTCGAGCTTTCTATAGCGCAGCATGTCGAGCAGAAGAACTGATCTTATGTACAAGGCTTTTTGATTTCTTTTTTAATCTCAGGGGTATATGTGCTGTTGTTGTCCTGGTGTCAAAAAAAACACAAAAAAAAGATATTTTTATCTTTTGTTCGCTCTCTGGCGATGATTATTTCAAAACAAAGCATAGCGTTTTTGTTTTTTTCTTTTGTATCATATACAGCAACCTGTATTATAGTCTGTTTTTATTTATGTCTTTGTACAACTTCAGCAGTATTGAAATTTGAATGTCGGTACGACAGAAGAAGACGAAGAAAAAAATACGGACAAACTATTTGAATTTGATAAGCTAGCAAAATCAGTGACTGGTTTGGATGCATTTTTTTTCCCTGGAATGATGTTACTTGCTGTTGTATTTTTGGGAGCTGTTCTCAGAAAGAAAAAAAGTATTCCTAACATGATGGATCAATAATCATGCTGTTGTGTTACCAAACATCTGTTGCGGACCCTTTATTTTACCCCTCGATTCTCCTGTCCGTTACAGAGCAAAGATTAGAGTGCTAATCTGGGGACCAGTTAGTATGTCACTGACACACTGCTGACCAGGTCATGCTGTATTTTATCCACTATTAGTAATATTAGCATTTATTTTGCTGAAATTTCTCCTTTTACTGCAGCAAAATTGTGCAGACAAAGTGAGCACAGACTGTTAGTGGCAGCCATTTTTTAACTGATCTATACATTTGCCAACTGTTATTCTAAGGAGAAAGAGAAAAAGCAGGGTGACCCGCAAGATAAAATGTGAGTGGAGGCAGCAGTGAAACTGGGAGCGTTGAAATTGGGATTCGTTGTCCAGTCTGATTAGAATCAGCTCAAGCTTTTGCTCTTAATACAGTGGTTACCTCTTCGAGAATCATCTAGAACGCCTTCTCTTGCAGTCGTAAAGCTTCTGTGATGACAAAGCCGTGAATGTGAGAGGAAATCTCTGCAAAGGAGTCTACTTATAAATGTCAGAAACTGGTTTGATAATTGTTAGATTACAGCAAAGCTGCAATGAGGCAGTGTCTGTGCATCACACCTGATTGTCTCTAAAGCAGAAACCGGGGGTGGATGTGGGTGGGGTGGAATTAATCACGTGAAAGACATGCGTGTGGAAGGTGAGCTCTTTGCTTTGATTATTTAAGACCGATGGGAATGCAGTTTTCTTTTGATTTCTTTCATTTGTGCCCAATGTTTTGTTTTTTTTTTGTTTGTTTTTGTTTTGTTTTTTTTGTGATTGAGTAATGGCCTTTTTACCTGCCATCTGCATTAGTGTCATAGTAAACATGACTATTATTCTGAAACGGATCCTGTCTGTCTGTGTATGCACTGTGTGAAAGAGAAAAGATAGATGTGAAACTACTGCATGTGAAATGCACAACTGTTATTTGAAAAGGGAACAATTCTGTGCAGAAATGTGCTGGTTCAGACTCTTTAACAATAGTGATGACAGGAACCAGAGATTGTAGACATCCAGTATGTTATGTTCATATTGACAAAATAGTGATAAAGCTGAAAAAATCTGTTTTCTTCGGGCATTTATGCCTTCCAACCATGTGAATGTATTTTTAAAAATCTCAAAATCTTATCTCAAAAGTATCATAAAACAACGTCTCAGGCATCAGGCCTGTTTTCATAACCATTTTATGTAGTAACATTCAGCTGGATAGCTTTTAATGTAATGAAATTTTGCAGACATCTGGTTCCTGTTAACACCACTGTGAACATTTCTGACTGACAGTTTCTCTACAGCGGAGCATTTTGCATCAGACCACTCTGAATGACTAAGGTGCCTTCAGATGAATGCAGGTTTTACCTAGAGGCAGTTATTCTTATAAAGCTATATTTGGCTGTTGCTGAAAAGATTTTGAGGAAGAAATGTTATTGTTGTATGTAATGTCTGTTAAAGAACTCTTACATACAGAGCGGAAGTGTCCACAAAGACTAAGGTGCAAAACGACATTGTGTGCTGTAGTTTGGGCAAGAATACCGTAAGAATGTCTGTATTTGTCTGTGTTGTTCAGCATAGTTAGTGGGGAATATCACCAATTTTTCAATACTTCTGCTTAAAAAACTTTCTGAGTCTGATATTCTGGACATCAACAGCGTATTTCGAAGCATTAAACTCTTCAGACGTCTGTTTTCCATCACCTCCACTCTCCTGTATCCTCTAGGACTAAGCTGAATCTGAATAACTACTCAGAAGTACTCTGAATAACTTAACCATCCCAGACATTTTATTATACAGAAATTTTGAGAACTTTTGAATTCTCTTTTCACAAAACATTTTAACACTAACTTGTTTGAGTGGTCTTTTTTCTTTTACAGTTGGCTCAAACTGATTGGAGCGGACCTTGAAAGAGTGAAGTTCTTGGGCTGAGTAGGTAGAAATAAAAGGTAATGTTGATTTTAAATGCACTCAGTAGCCACACACATTTTTCTCTGGGAATGGTTTTGGCCTCTTTTATAGGCAACCAGTTTTTGAGCATGAGGCAGGTGGTAGGTGTTTAATGCATTTATAAACACATTTCTGAATATGCGTCAATTAGGATGTAACCTTTAACAAGGCTGACCACCTTTTTAGTTTCCCCACTAGAAATGATTCCAAAGGTTTAATGGTCACTCATGAGGAAATAGTTTTATATTTTCTTGCAGTGTAAAGGCTGTAGTACATTTGTCAAGCATAGAAAGCCAATAAAAATAAAAATCTCATGTGTTGCCAGTGTTCGAAGGAAAGGTCAGATACCTGGGCACTGATTAGTCCAGGACTTTAAAGAATTTTGATCTGGGGGTGTAAGAAGGAAAAA